TGTTACCAATCTTTCCAGTAGTTACATGATATTAAAAAAATTTTCAAACATAATTTCAAATTAGGACAGTAATTTCTGATGATTTTCATGTAACATTTTTCTAATAGCTTACGGCAAATAGTTTGATTCTCCTTTAACTTCCATAATAAATAGTTTATTGGTTAATGCATTCAAGTTTTATTTTTAAAGTCAAAAGTTTGATGTCAGAGTAAGTAGGATGATACTGAATAGGATTCAAATTAAAATTTAATTAGTAATCCATATATCTTATCATTATGTGAAATTTGTTAAAAAAAAACAAAAAAAACCCATACAGTTGTATATTCAAAGTCCATACATGATTTCAAAACAATTCCTAAAATAATTTATGGAATAAGTTTATCATAGTAATATGCAAAGACATCATTAAAGTATGTGACAAAGTCCTTATCTTCTTTTGTCATTTTTCAATTATAAAAAGGAAATTTAGTATCAAGAAGTGCATGCTTCTAATGATGCAATTGAATATATAAGGAGTTTTGATTTTAATTTAGTAACATTATTATTTTTATTTGGTACGCAATAATGTCCACAAGTTTCACACACCTTTTCACCCACACACACAGACAATGCATACAAGAGCTATCTGTTGATTGAAAGCTCTAAAAAATTGATATAAAGAGATTTGATTTATAACTCTTATAGTGTTGGTCTATCTTTTGACTAAATGCTTTGTAAGTGTGATAGTGTTTTTGTTTTGGATGACTAGAAGGGCTAGTGTGTCTGGCTGTGTATGGATAAACTAATTGAACATTATTCTTACTATTTTATTTGGATAAGTGAACCAAGACCAATCGTTATCAAAATTGACCTGCAATGCAGCAACCTATGGGCAGTGGAGACCAATAGCTTGTTGCCACATCGTACAGACCTGTGATGTGGCAATGAGCTATTGGTCTCCACTGCTCACATGTTGCGATGTCACAGGTCAGTGTTGAGGTCTGCTATGAATTGCTCACAACTCTTCTAGTAATTTTCTTCAATCTTGTTGCAATCTGCTGAATTCTGGGGAAACATATCTGAAGGTCTACATTATCTTCACTACTTTATTATTTAAAGTGTTTTAAAGAAAAAAAAACAAAAAAAGATGTTTCAATATTTTCAAGTTTGATTGAATTCTTACCCCCCAAATTAAAACCATTAATATTTGCAAATCAGTTCCACTCAACTTTTGATGCCAGTCTGTAGTGAACTTTTTAAAAAGTGTTTTGGGTAAGACTGCATAGATATGGACAGTAATCAGGGAGTGCTGAGGAGACAGAATGTGCTGATAGAGACTGAAAGTTAAAAAGAATAAAGTTATTTGCTGATGCTCATTAAGTTTTTGATTGGTGTGTACTAGAATTCTAATACAGTAAGAGCTGCACATATGCAAATAACCTCAATGCAGTAAGCATTAATCATAGTTTTGGAAGATACAGAACTAATAGTTGAGGGCTTATAAGTAGAGAATGAAGATCTCTCAGTTGTTGATAGTGTGGAAAGTAACTAGCTCACACGAATTTTATTGGCCTATCTACATTTTCTTGTTTGATGTGATTCAGAGTTTCTATCTGGATTGATAACATTTCAAATGAAGTCATTCTAGACTCTGTGTGCATGTGTGTGTTGCAGTTAGACATTACAATACATTGGTTTGTGTGTCTGTTTGTGATGTTTTGAAAACACAACATACTAGTTGTGTGTTAAAAGATTTAGAATACAAACTCTTTGCTGTTGTACATTTTTTTCCATATCTCATCAATTAATTTCCTGTGTACAGGGTTTGCATCAAATAACACAGGTTGGCTTTCTAAGAGTGGAGGATTTTTGGGAGCCAACAGTGGAAGGCTTAGATAGGTAAGAGTACTGACATGTATTCTATTATATACAAATTGTCCATCATTATGAAGTGCTCACAACTCTTCTAGTAATTTTCTTCAATCTTGTTGCAATCTGCTGAATTCTGGGGAAACATATCTGAAGGTCTACATTATCTTCACTACTTTATTATTTAAAGTGTTTTAAAGAAAAAAAAACAAAAAAAGATGTTTCAATATTTTCAAGTTTGATTGAATTCTTACCCCCCAAATTAAAACCATTAATATTTGCAAATCAGTTCCACTCAACTTTTGATGCCAGTTTGTTGAGGAATGGAGGGTTATTTTGTATTGGTTGCTTTACATCCTAATTTAACGCTGTCCATCTGCCCTTTGTGTAGGAAATGACTCACATTATTCTGAAAATAAGGATTTGAATTTCAGATTTGAGGATGGCCAGTATTAGAATAGAGGATTACCAGGTTTTTTATTTTTAGCATAACATTAAATAGATGTACTATATATAAACACTAAACACCTGTGCAGATTTACAATTTTAAAATTGATGAATATTGTGTTCAACAGACTTTAATTTGGTAATGACATTGTATTATAGGTAGAATCAGCATGGTTTCTCTCACAAGTTAATGTTGACATTTTATTTTTGAATTGTTTACTAATAACACTAAAAAGAGTTGAAAAATATACTGTTTTATGCCAGAACCAACTTATAATGTTATGGCAGATATCTATCTAGCTGTGATATTTTTTTTTATGGTTACTTATAGTTCAGTGTATTACTATATATATACCACATCTTGTCTTCTCAATGTTGAGATACACATTTTCCCAGTTTTCAATGTTTATTGCTTAGTACTTGACTAATTACAAGTATTTATATTCCCATCACTATTGATTTGTGAATTTAAATATTTGAGTCATAATTTTACCTTAAACATTGCCACCATTTAGTCATTTGTTTAGTACCAAAATGGTTAGTTTGTTATTTATTAGGATTCTGCCTTACCATGGATAATTGTTCTTAAGCTGAGCTATTCCCAAGTGAACTTTTCTAATGGACACAAGCTATGTCAAATAGTCATTTGATTTGTAGTTGTTCATATTTATAAACGTTTCTTTTTCAGACTTAAGGTCAACACAAACATACCAACCATTTCTATACTGTTATCCAAAGATCCGCTAGATACCAGCCATCCAAGGTACTAGTATATAAAATGTGTAAGAACATAAAGTTTTAAACTTTTGAACCTGTCAGCCCGATTTATCGATCTGTGCGTAAAAAAAACATGCCCCACCAGTCTTGTACATCGTACGTTAAAGTGACATGATCTCAGGGTATAGGTACTTATCAACCCAAGAACAACATAATTTTCAGAAATAACCCAACATAAATCAGTAACACCAACTCAGTACCAGTTTAGAAACTTCATTTAAATATGGTAGGTTTGTGTGTGGTTTTTGATGCTCTTTTTATAAGCATTTCTAGCTGCACAATAGTTTGCATGCAACGTTGCCTTGCCAGGTTATTATTATATATAGTTATCACATTATGAACTGTCCCACTGTATAAATTACCGTTCACCTAAATGTTATTTTGTAGTTTGAAACTTTAAAATTTTTATAACAAAAAAGAAATGCTGCTGTGTGCTTTTCTTTGCCAAATTATCAAGATTGTTGAAAGATTGATGAAAGATTGTTGTCAACAATGACATCCAGATGTATGAATGAGTTCACTTTTTTATCAGTATATTGTTTATCTGCAGTTCATGTATCAATTGTTTTTTCTTTCAGAAATCTATTATCAGTTCTTTGTTTTTGTGACATTCAGTTCTAAAAAGTTGTCAATGCGCCAGTTAATTAATTTTTTTTTATCAAACTTTGCTACTGAGATAAGACCAGTTATGGCAGTATCATAAGCAAATTTAATTCAATTTGAGTTCTGGAGGCTTCTTATGTCATTAATTAGTGTAAAGATTGTAAAATACCAGAGAAAGTATACAACCTTGTGGGCCCCCCTCCCCCAAATTGTACTGGAGTTGATGATTTGGTGTTGATGACTTATAACAAACTGAGGATGTTGGGTTAGGAAATTTAGAACCCAAGCTTGTTACATGTCTCACATTTAAATTATTTAGTTTGTCAATCATTACATGTGTAAAGCTGGGGAGAAATCTGCAAGAGCATTTGTGCATACGATATGGGTATATTGAGATACTTACAGAGCTGATCCAAAATCAACAGAATTGCGCTCTTTTTTCCCCTGGCCGCTTTTTAGGCAAACTTTCGAGGATTTAGGCTGCTATTGACTTTTTGTTATAAGTTGTTTAAGCACAGATTTTTGTAAAAATTTCCTGACCATTGATGTTAGTGTTATTGGGTGGAAATCATTTAATCTATTTTTATTTTTTTATACCAGTATGATTTCTGAAGTTTTCTACATTTTCGGAATTAGGCATGTTTTAAGCAAATAATTAAAAATGTGGGAGAATATAAAAGATATTTATTTCACACATAGCTTTACCAACTTTCCACTAATTTTTACCTCCCGGAAGCTTTAGTTACATTTCCTTTTCTGAATAGTAAGGTCACTTCATCTTCAGTTACAAAATTGGCATAGTGTTCTAGTTTTTCCTCAGTTCAAAATTTCTTTTTGCCAAAAAATCCCCTCAAAAGTGGGCATAGAAGTCATCTAGTGCTACTTCTCTATTATTGCCCTAGTCCCAAGATATTATTTAAAAAGGCTATTGGATGTGTCAGTAGAAGCATCTTATTTTTGACCTATTTATCAGTAGATTTTGTATTCATGCTTTATATATTTTTTTCTATGACAGCTATCAAGCTCCAGGCAGCACTGAACTTGTGTGGCCAGATCAGATGAAAACCAAGAAGGACAACTCCCAAAGGAAAATGGCAGCAATAAGAGATTTGAAAAATGCAGCCTCAAAACCCAAAAGATCCAGAGGCAATGGAAAAGACAGTTTTAAATCTAAAAATAAGACAGATAAGTCACATTGCTTCACAGATCTGAAAAAGAGTGAAGCAACGTCTAATTCAATGGAATAAACTTCAACTTTTAGAGTCTCTTGTATGTATATGTATATATAAAATTGTATTTGTTTCCTTGTTATAAAAATTATTGAAACAATAAAAATAATTTTTAAAAATATTTATATTGACTTTACCCCATTGTACAATAATGTTTAAAATGATGAAGAACTTGTTAATGGTAATTAATATTATGTAAGACTAAATAGAAGTGACTTCAAAGTTTATTTTGTAGCTAGCTATAGTAATATAAAGTTGTATCCTCTTATTGTCACGTAGTGATAGCTTCCATTTCAGAATGAAAGTAAAATGCTTTGATAGTTCTAGGAGTTAAATTTTGTTTTCCTAGCTAAAACTTCATCTCTTTTTTCCAAAACCACTCCAGTTTTTGTAAAACACTATCAACATCTGTTTTCAAGTTCATTAATACAAGTGTATTTTTAACTTGTCAGTTTCTAATCTAGAGATTGCTGCACGGTATTAACTAAACAAATTCTAAATGAAGAAATTGTTGATCTGTGTACTTTAAGTAGTCTCCCTTTACAATGTCTTTGTTTCGTTTGATGACCAGCAAGGTTCAAGTTTTGCGCCAACTGCAGTTGAACGTGTGCCTAAAGAAATACTTCAACGTGCTCTTGTGCTGTCAACTCTGATCCCTTACGCATCTTTGCAAGTCTCGTGTATAGCCTTGACCATCGTTATAAATATTTCTTAGTTGAACTTGAACTGTCAGCGTTGACGAATCTGTTTATAGATCTAAATCTGATAATTGGACCAAAGTTGCTTAGTCCTAAGTGCCTGCGGTGCCTGTTTGTCAGTAGAAAAAGGTCGTGATTACTTTGGCATTATACGGGAGTACATTGAATAGGTCATTCTATTCGGCAACCTGGGATGAAATCATTTCAATAGAGTAACTGTTTGGAAAGTGCTATAAGATTTTGTAAAATAAAATGTTTAACAGTGACAATATAGAGGGTCTGTGTAGTTACATCTTGTTGTTTGTTTTGTTTGAAATGATACATTATAGCAATCGATTGGGAAGACCCTATATTTACCTTAACTCCAAACAGATACAGTCTCCCTTGCGTGCATCCTAAGGAAAATGTGAAGCTGACTTCCATCTGCAACAAGCATGCTCTAAGGCGTTTAGAACTTTGAAAAATGCAACCTACCCTCACTAAGCAGGTGCAGGCCGTATCATGTCCCATAAAAGGAGGGGGGGGGGGGTGACACCCAAGTAAAAAAATAAAAGAACTTTTTCTAAAGCAAAATTTAAAAAAAAAAATAAATTGTATCTTGATACACACCAGAATGTAGGTCTATTTATTATGCACATTTAATATATTGATCTAGATACAGACGTTACCTGTGGACATTAGAACGGAAAGGTTATTTGCTTTGTAGACCTATTCTTGAATATTAGCTAAAGAAAACCCACATTATTAGCAATGCTTAAGAAATTAAACAATAAATTAGACGTTTCATCTTCTGAGGAGAACCTAAACCAAGGTCTCACACTTCAGTTTGGGCCAGTCCCGCCACTTCTTAATGTTACCTGCAATCTTCTTACTAGGAGAAATAATGCAACTAGAATCCAAAGAAAAGATTAGCAGACGACTTAAGTAGTCTGCATGCCATTCTTTTGAGGTCGTATCATCCGTCCGGAAGGCGTAACCTAAAGTGTAAAAACGTCCGGCTTTTACTCTATTTATTATTGCGATTGCATTAAATCCATCAATCGAATCCAATGTTTCATTATCTTCTCATTTAAAAGCACAAACTTATTCATAATTACAAGAAAATGTGTTTTTTTTTTATAATATCCTTCATTAATAGGTTACAGGATTTTATTTTTAAGAAAGAATTTATGAAAACAAAATGTTACTCAGAGCTCCTCAATATCTGTAGCTTTTACATTCTGAGACATAAAGCAAACGTTGAAAACAACAACAACTATCGCCAATCAACACACATTTCACATACAAGACAGAAAAATATCTATACTCTTATGTGCATTCAGTCTTCTAACATATAGCTGGCCTACAACTTGAATAAAATGTACATACAATTTCACACGTATATTTTCGCAAATGATGAGCTACTTCCAGAAGTCTTTTTGACTGAGAAATATGGGAATTGAATTTAGCAGATATACACTATGATTTGAAGAGGTGTGGTTTGCGGCACTATGCTTCCCTGGGAGTGCACAGGTTTGCGGGTGTCTGATAACCCTGGAGAATGAGTTTCTGAAGCTTAAAAATGCTTGACCCCCGCTGGTAGAACTAACAGTTGATTGACTAAACACTGTATCGGCCTAATATTAAACCATTTTCGCCATGTCTAAAAGTCTTTAAAATCGTGTGTTTCTAGTTGTTGTAATCTTACATTTTAATATCTAATATATGTTTTAAACTATTGACGAATTTCATATACAACGAAAAAAAACAACAACTCATGTAACAGTTTTGTAATTATCATTTAACTTAGCTAATTATCTCACTGTACTAAATAAAAAGAACAGTCTAACGATAGCTTTCATCGGGAGATTTGTTTGGGGAAAATCGTTGGGGGGGGGGGGGGGTGTGTGTGTGTGACACTGACCCATTAAGTAACCACTGGTTCAAACCTTTATAAAAATTTAATTAGGCTACCTGTCTAAACTAATAAATGTGTTTTAACTACAATTTTAGCTCATTCATAGCGAGACACACACACTCTCCCTCTCTATATATGTATGTACATATATATATATATATATATATATATATTTATTTATTTCTATAGGCCTATAGATAGATAGATATTGTAATGCTGTGACTAGCCTACTTCAGTACTTGAGAATAAGATTTTAGATTTAGTCCAAAGAATTACAGATAAAATAAAAATAAGTACGAACATTAACGTTTAATTTGAACTAATTTTTTAAAAAATGACTTGGGGAGTCTATAATGAGCAGTAATTCTGTGAACATACAAGCATATAGGTACATATCATATGGTGATTCAGGTAAAGAAAATCACGAGCAGGCGTAATTAATTAGCCTACTTTTAAAATTTTACACAAAAATCTCAACAAAGATTTCTTCTTGAGCTTTCAAAAAATACTAATACTCCAACACATTATTTATAATTAACTATTATTTTTTTTTAGCAAAATAACCTAGATCTATTATTTATAATAATCCCAAAAATATTTTCCCCATTTATTTTTCAGCCAATAAACGAATTTACCAGCGACCAGACTGACTCTAAAATTTCCCACTAAACCAAACCGAAAGTATCGATACTGAATACTGCCGCTGAAACTAGTTGGCGCTGTTGTGTTGTCGAAAGCTACAGTGGAGGACGTAGGCTTGGCTAGATAGAATAAGTGACCTAGAAATCTTGATCTAGTCTACAGTTCCACATACATCGTTGTTGTTGTTTTCATATTTTACTATTCTTCTTGAGGATATTCAACATTTGTCATCATTTGATGAATTCATAGATTTTTTTCTGAGATGGTTTTTGAAAAGAATGAAACCAAAATAAATGAAGTTTCGAGCCTTAAAAATAATAGATCTAAGAATTTTATTATGGATACCCGTAGTATTGTTGCGGATTACATAAAGTACCGTTTGCAAAACAGTGGATATACATGGGACAATGATGGGCGACCGGCAAATGTTTCGCCCAATTCGGTGCAAATTGCAATGAGGACTTTAGGTGATGAATTCGAGGAACGTTTTAGTAGCAGATTCGACGATTTAATTGATCAATTAAACATAAATGATGAAAATGCATATGAAACGTACACTGCAATTGTTAATGAAATATTTTCTGATAGTATTAATTGGGGGCGGATAGTTGCCCTATTTGGATTTTCAGGTCGTTTCGCTGTAAGGTGTTACGAATTAAATAAAACACACTTAGTAGACAATCTTCTAGAATGGTTAACAACATATGTTGATACTCGTCTATCGTCCTGGATGAATAGTCACAATAATTGGGTAAGTTATTTATAGATTCTATATCTTAATATAGAGATCTACTAGAGTAAAGCTGCCATATCGAACACCCCTCTTTTGTATAGACCATATCAAACATTTCATCTTATTTTTATAAATAAATAAAATGCTGCATTATTTTGATCGCTTATACAGAAATACTGTTGTATTTTGGTGCGCGATCCATTTTTCTATTTTTTAACATTTAGTTTTGTATACTTAAACAAGATCGTTTTTCCACTAGACGATAAAGTACACTGGTATGAAAGTATTGAAAGCGTGATATTTTGACTTCATATACATGAATGGGAGGTGCTTCCGGAACTAAGGCTACTGTATAGCCCCCATGGGGCATTAGCCAAGCAAGACCTATATTTTTGGATTCAGAATTGAAAGGAGAACATGTATATATTACACTCCCCTTGCTTTCAATTAAACCTATTCAGAGTTATGAGGGTGTTCGATAAGGTTTACCATTTTAGAAAGTGCTACAATATCGAACAATTTTGTCTTTTTTTTTAGTGTTCATGTATTTTTATGCAATGTTTTCTTTAATGTTCAAGCAAAAATTAACATATCAGTAAAGTTCTAGTATCTTAAAGACAACAAAACACACAAGCATTTTATAAATACATGTTTATTAAACATTATTTTGACAAAAAACACAATTTTTTGGTACAAGTTAAAATTTGTTTTTTTGCAGATTTATTTCCTTTTGCCCCCCAAAATAATTTATATTAAGTATGCTCTCCCCTGCCATTGCTAAATCTATTTATTAAATAGTTAAAATAGCATTGACTTTTCCTAAATTTTGAACTATCACTGTGATATAGTGTATTATATATGGCAGATGGCAATTGGTCTTTTCTTTCGCACTTGGTAGTTCACCTCTTGCTTGACCAGAAAATACCTGAAATGAAAAAATCAGATGATTAAAACATTTTTTAAATGCATATTGTCTGATATGGTTTACAAGGTGTTCGATGTTGTAGCCAGGGAACAAAAATTGATGAAGTTTAGATTATGTCATACCTACCCCACCCCTCTTTGACATCAGATTTTATTTAAACTCTATGGAAGTTCAAGCTTATAGACCAATGGATGACGAATTTATAGATGGTTTCGTTTTTTTTTTCTAGGTCTAGCCAATACGGAGCTTCAATAATTAAAATGCAAAAAATCGCCGCTATTCGGCTTAACTTGTTCGATATGGTAGCTTGGTAGCTTTACTCTAGATCTATCTATATCTATAGATAATCTATATCTAGTTATTTTCTATGTGACGTTAACAATTACGTATTAATTTAATCTATTGACTTATTGTATACGGGAGACCATACAGGAAAGTTTATGTTCTCGTAAAAGAAATATATCTTCGTCTATGCAGTTAGATCTAGGATCTTGTAAGCAAAGAAAATTTTTTTAATTAAAAGTAGATTAACATGCTTGACTAACCACGGTAGTGTGTATTTTCTCGCCAGACTACTCAACATACAACAAACACTATCGCTTTGTTGTCTTGTCATGACCGACTACACGTAGTCTCGACTAGCCTTACACTGACCAGTTTGTTCGAATTATTCAGACACACAATCTATTTACTTCTTGGGACAGGGAGAGGCTTAGATGAAAATGTTACTTTTTTTCTCGAGCTGGTTAGTAGATCTATCTATACGTGTGTATATAAAACTGTATCATAGCTCTGGGATAGGCCATCACAAATCTAACAGCTACTGTACAAAATGAAGCAATATGATTGGTTAAATCTAGTTTCTCTTTCAGTATTGTTGTGGGAAGTGATGTTTGACATCTATAGCTAAAAACAAAATCTCAAAGAATTCCGTTTTTTTTTAGATGTCAAGAATTTACTAATTTATTAAATATAAATGTTTCTAAGCATTTAAATAAAAAATGTTTACTATTACAACTTTTTACGAAGAATTTAAATATGTCAATAACTCAAATTTGAAAAACCATCAGAGTTTCCCTTT